GGCCCTCCAGCTCTGCCTGCTTCTCCTGCGCGGCTTGGGCGTCGTCGGCGTGCCGCTCCTCGAGTTCCTTGTGTGCGGCCAACAGCTCCTCCAGCTTCTGGTCACGCTCAGCCACGTCGCCCTGCAGCTGCGCAATCAGGCCCTCCAGCTCTGCCTGCTTCTCCTGCGCGGCTTGGGCGTCGTCGGCGTGCCGCTCCTCGAGATCTCTTGTGACGGTGTTCATTTCTTCCAATTTCTCTTCACGATCCGCAAGTTCGGAGCGTAGCTGCTGAATCTGTCCCTCTAGCTTGGTCCTCATGGCTGTGGAAATTTCCTCGAGCTCACCGAACGCAGACTGCATTTCTTCCAGGCTCTCATCGGCTCTGCGGAGTTCATCCTTTGTTTCTGTCAGCGACGCCGTGAGCTGCTGATTTGAGGCGTTGGCTTCGTCGAGCAGTTGCTGCAACCTGGACACCTCATTATTGTGATCGGTTTGCATGGAGGTCATTGCCTCACTGTGGTGGAATTCCTTTGCCTTCATCTGATCAGTGTACTTGCGAAGATCCTCCGTCATGAGGCTTTCCATGGCCTCCTCATGCTCCTCCCGCATCTCCTGCATCTTTGTTTCCACCTCCTTGAGTTGTTCCTCAAGGACAACCTCGTTGGGGTAGAGGATGCGTCGTTGCTCCTGCAGCTGGGCGTCAGCCTCCGCCAGAGTCTTCTGAAGCTCTTCAATTTCCTCCTGCAGGCGGGCGACTACATCTTCATTGGTGGCCTCCATAAGCTGTGCCCCAAGGATGGCGATTTTCTTGAGAAGCTCGCTAATGGTGTTCTGCAGCTGGTACTCGGCGTAGAGCGCCTCCTTCTTCTTGAGGTAGGCGTCGCGGAGCTCCCCACTCAGCTTCGCCGCGCCCTCGTCCGTGGCATCAATCGGCTTCACGGTGTTGATCTTCGCGTGGGTGGTCATCTGCTTTGCGCGGTCCGCGAAGCGGAGTGACTGCACGCTGAGGTGGGCGTCGCGGGTGCTTGGTGCGATGGTCACCACCATCGCGGAGACACTGTTGCCTCCAAGGTACTCCTTTAGCAGCCTCGTCAGGGTGCTGTTGCGGAACTCTGGAATATTTTGATTGTAGCCCTTGCGCGTCGCCACCGCCTCGATGCAGGAGCCCAGCGCGAGCAGCGAGAGGTTGATGTTGCGTGCCTGCTCAAACGGAAGCCCAGTCTCGGTTTGGGCGATTTTGATGCGCTCAGCGCCGGCGAGGTCCGCAAGAAGTAACTTGGAGATGCGGGGGACGATGTCTGTCGACTCGAAGGAGGTCTGCACCTCCAGCTGGAAGAGGGTGTGGGCGCGGGAGGAGCGGTCGTGCACGGCGGTGGCCGCAAACGTGCGCAGCGGCTCCGCCTTCCGCAAGAGCACGGCAACATCCTCGTAGCTTCGGACGGGAATGGACTTTGCGCCAACCACGTGGAAGGAGTTATCGGTGTAGTTATTGCGAATAGAGACCATCTTGCGATGGTTCAGCAGGTCAAAGACGTCCTCGAGGTAGACCTCCAGCATGGACGCACACACGCGGTACGTCACCCCTTTCTGCGAGGCGGCGGCCGCGCGGGAGAAGATCATCTCACACACGCGAGGAATCAGACCCTCCTCGGCGGTGCCAAGAGAGTTGGCGGGGCCAAACGCCGTGTATGTCTTGCCGCTGCCGGTTTGCCCGTACGCCATGATGGCGGCGTTGTACCCGGCCAAGGCATTCTCCACTAGGGGTCTGCCAATGACCTCAAAGACGTCCTCCTGGCTGGAGAACGGCTTCGTACCGGCGGCTTCGTTGCTCCAGAATACCCCGTCAAAGGTGAAAGTGAAACGACCCTTCTGCGGCACCATAACATCAACCGTTTCATCCTTCATGCGCACCGCCAACTGTCGCTGGTCCTCCGCCGTCTCATTCGCAGCAAAGGCACGCACACGCGCGTACACGTTCACGCGACCGTTCCCTCCCGTTTTCCCTGAGAGTGGCCGCATGGGCATTTGACTGCTGCCACCGCCGCCGCTGGTGTTCCCAATGCTGGAGATGCTGCTGCTGTGGTTGTTGTTGACGCCAGAGAGACTGACGCCTGTGCCGGTGCGCCTAAAGCTCTCCGGCCGAGGAAGTCCAGGCCGTGGCCCGCGTGCGGACACCGGCGTGACGCCTGGACGTGGCGGCCGCTGCGCTGTCGGCGTCATGCCTTCCGCAGACCGTTGGCTGTTTGGTGTGGTGTTTCGCCTGGGCGTGGAAACACGTGAGGGGGTGGAGGCACGCATCGGAGTTGTGGTGGGCGGACGCGGTGGCACGGCGCGCGCCGAATTTAATGCCGTGCGGCTCGAGTTTGTACGCTTGAAATCCATGCCTGGTAAGCGTACGGGAGTGGGTTAATTTCCTCTTTGTTGCCGATGGGTACGATGCCGGGTGAAGAACCCGCGCAGAGAGCACTGAAACAGATGTACAAAATAACAGTGGCGAAGGGGGAAAAAAAATCTACGTGATTTTTTATCGGTTTATTGCTCTCTTGCTGTTTATTTTTGTTTGTTTGTTTTTTCTTTCTTTCTTTCGTTTTTATTTTCGGTTCCCTACCACTTGTCGGTGTGTGTGTGTGTGTTCTTCGCTTGTTGCGGGCGGCCAAGTTTGCCTGCTTGCCTGCCGCTGTTGTTGGTCCTTTTTGTTTGTTGTTTTTACTCGTTTGTTTGCTTGCTTGTTTTTCCGCTTTTCTCTCCCGCAGTGTGTGTGCGCGTGTGCGTGTGCTCCTTCGCGCGCCCACGGTGAGTCGGTTCCCTCCGGATTAGAGAAAGAGGCGCTTGCAGCAACGCGTGGTCCTGTTGGCGTGTGATACGGGGCTTGCGGCGGAGAAAAGGAAGAAAGCGGCAGAAGCAGCAGGAGGAGGAGGGGTAGGCCGCACGCACACACGCACACGCAGACACGCAGAGGGAGAGAGAGGCTCCACCACAACAGCAATGAAGAGAAAAAAAAAAAAACGACCGCTACCACACGCTCCACCCCCCACCCCTCCCCCGCCATCCCACCGGTAGAAGACGCACATTTGCAGACCCACACACACGCACGCACGCGCGCGGGGGGCATTGATGCAGCCACAGACGCACAGAAGAAGGGGAGTAAAAAAAAAAAAAAACTGACGAGGGGGAGGGGGGGAGCCGGTGTGGCTATCGTAACATTTCCCACCCCTTCGCCCCGTGCGACGGGGAGCCGCCCTCTCCCG